CTGGCTGCTTCCTCCCCACCCCACTATACACACACACACACACACACACACACACACACAGAATATACCTCAACCCTTAATCTCAGGATTCTCCAAGGTTTACTCATGGATTGTTGGTTTGTCAATAACTTAACTTTGCTTTTGATGCTCTTTAGGAAAATGACTTCAAATTTTCAAAAATCCTCAACTCCAGCTTGGATCTTGGACATTCTCCTTTGTCTCTCATTTCTCACTGCCTGAAGGCAGCTCTGCTCACATATACCAAAAACCTCAAAACGGAACCATCTCAAATGAAATACTGAACATCGATTCCTTCCTTCCTGAATTCTCTTTCGGAAAGTGTTACAATTCTCTCCTTTTGCAAGGGTCACGGCCATGGATAATTTTCATCCAATTGCTCAGTATGCTGCTTTCTTAGGAGCTGGAGATTTAATCCATACAGTCCTGCTACTTCATCACTCCCAATCTTCGCCTAGATAGTGAGTGCCCCTCAAGGGCAGGGATGATGTCTTAAGATCTTGCTATCCCATTTCTTACACTGTGCCTGGCTAGTTTTAGGCAGGTGGATTCACAAATGTGTGCTGAATCAATTCTGAATTAACTATACATTCTCCACTCTCTTTCCTCTTGATCTTTACTCTGTGCAACTCAAATTCAGTCTGACTCCCTGAAGGTCAAACAACTGTAACAGTCTGCTTGTCATTCCTTCCCAGGTGGAATCAAGCCTTGCGGGGTGTCCAGAACATCTTCTATGAAGGACGTAATTTGGATTAGTACTGTTCCACTCCCCTCCTCAAACACTTCGAATTGCCTCTCAAACTAAATGAAAACTTTGTACAGTTTCAAAGGATTTAATTTAGATGTTTCATCTCTAATTAAATTTTTATTTGAATTTTCTGCCCTAGTCCATTAGTTTTTCTGATGGTACCGGAGGACATCTCTCTCTCCTCCCACATGGGGTCCTTTCCAACCTGCCAGTCCCAGGTAGCGTGAAGCCTCTCACTTCTGTCCTCTGATCCCTGCCTTCAGAATGGCTTGATATTTACTTCCTTCGCAGCCTTTGCTGGCACCTAGACCACTAACAACCAGGTCATCAGTATCCAGTTATCGATAGGATCATTTTCATAGACGCTCTAGTTTCCGCCTGCGTGGCGGGTGTTTGTATAAAGTGCTTCCTGTATGAATAAAATGTCTGCATGTAGTGCAAAGAGCCCATGCCGTTTAAAGCATAGCTGGCAGTTTGGAGCGCACATGGATTCTGGCATCTGACAAGTGGACTGACCCAGGTTCCTACTTACTCTAAGTGCAATAACTGTCACTGATCTCTGGAGATGTCCATGTTCTTATCTACAAAACGGGTGATCTCACCTCCAGATGTTGCAGAGGATGAAATGTAAAGTTATTGCCTTGCAGCAGGAAGTGGAGGACTCAACATACAGCACTACTGCAGTTACTGGCAGATCAGGACTATTAAGTCTCAGGTCATTTGCCTTCCAAGACAGAACATATTCCTGTCTTTTAATAAGGGACCACAGAGAAAAGTGACTTATGTCCTACAACCCAACTATGATATATGCAGGTAAAATCTTGGAAAATGGGATTATTTTCTTACTTGCAAATATTAAATATATTAACGTTGTTCTTTCAATAAAATTAGGCAGGCTCCAATTATTTCACCTGTAAGTGGAAACTGTCCTTTAATACCCTAAGAATTGGAGTTTAGTACTTAGCCATACCTGTGATACACCTATTTCACTATACAAACTGTTCTGTTACTTTCTCGCCAGTAAAAAACCAAAAAAAAAGAAACAGACCAATCTGAGAGCTAGTTTACACAAGAAACTCAGACGATCAACACATGCACATTATCTGATGATCGAAACACTGACTCAATTCAGAATGGAAAATAATGTCCGCGCCAATTTTAACTCGATGGAAAATCTCCTTACATGCTGTCAGGAACGCAAGAGTGCAAAGTGTGTATTTTCAGGGGAAACATTACCTAATGAGACCCTGGCCAGTTGAGTGAGAACCTACTACCAAAGAAATCTTTTGTCTTCTGGGAAGGCTAATAGCAGGGTATGGCACTAGACTTCAGATGTTTGGTTTAACAGTTCACAGTTGAAGACGGTAGTCTCAGAAAATTGCAAAATGCCTCTGCTGAGCCAGTTACTGGTAAGATTCCACCTCTGTAGGCACTACTTAAATATCTTCCTACATACTCAAGCCTAAGTGACCTGCCAATATCAGGTGTCTGTGAGAGTTCTAAGACAATGGCCTTGCTTGCTTAGGATTGTGTGTGGGTGTTGAACATGGTACTTTAAACAAATTTACGAGGTGCAAATTTTTAATGCTAAGATGACTCATAAGGTTTCAGAATGTGTAAATATGAAGCACAATCGCATTTATACCATCACTGGGCTCACCCACAGCAAAACTAGCTTCATTACCATATTGTTTAGACTACCAAGACACTCACAAAATTCGCCCCTCATGCTAGGCTGATGAGAGAAACTGCGGGTTTATGATTGCTAACATTTGTAGGGTACAGCCATCTTGAACCAATGCCATAACTTAACCTCCATTTTGCAACATGTTTTGATGGCAGCATTCAACTAATTCTATTTCTCTGAGATTATGAGAAGGTATACTGGAAACCTTAAGTAGAGGGCAACTGTAAAGAAAAAAAATTCTGGAACTTTATCATTGTAGCTCTAGATCTCTTTCAATTTACATCAATGTAGAACTATGCTCCATGTAGAATATCTTAAACACCTTACTGAAAGTTTAATGAGGCAAGTAATTAAAGTGCATTAACTATGAAGTCAAACAAAATTAGGAGGCAATTTCTCAATGAAGTGTCTCGATTTGTGGTAACGAGTATACAATGCATACCTATGCCCAATCATGTTGTACCCTAGAATATACAGTTTGTCAATGAAATATTTTAAAATTTAAAAAAGAACATAAAATGATTATAACTAAGCATTTCATATGCACACTGAACTAAAGACTAAGATTAGACTTTTGTGATTCACTTCTGGTGTTCCTTATTTGAAGGTCTTATCCAATTGTTTATAAAAATGTTCTGAAAATTTCCTTTGGTTGAAACCAAACTGGTAGAAATCGGGCCTTTACCATTACTAGGTTGATACTTTAGAATAACACCACTTTGCTGTCAGAATAACAATCTTGGAAGTTGTGACTAGAAAATGTGACACGGCCTGGAGACCCAAAACTCACCACAATGTTGTCTAAATACTTAAGAACTGTATGACCCTAACAGATGGGAAGAATATGAAAGAATAGAGGAGCTGAATGAAGAGATTTTGTAATGGGACCAATCATTATTCATGTTCTTCACAAAATGACTGATAGAATTTGCTGAAACTTTGTACACAGTATAAGAAATCTGACTTTTCTTTTTTGGATTTGAAGTTTAATGAATTGATTATGAACTTAATTCTGGACAAAAGAAAAAACTCTTTTTAATTCCATTTTCATAGGTCACCAGAAACAGAAGCCAAAAAAGTAAGTTAAAAAAAATGTTCTTTGAGACAGTCTCACTACATAGTTCAGCCTGGTGTTGAACTTATTATGTAGCCCATGCTGGCCTCGAACTCACAGCAATCCTCCTGCCTCAGCCTCCCAAGTGCTAGGATTATAGTCATGCACCACCAAGCCTGTCAGTTTTACAGATTTAACTACTGAATACTCAGAAAAATCCTAGCTCCTGCATTTTTTTTTCATTTCTATGAAGATAAAAATTGTCTTTAAAGGGATACTACAGTTAACAGCAAGATTTTTGAGATTAATTTGTATCTTCAATAAAAATATCAAGGCAACGGATCATTCTTTTATTAACTTTGGAAGCCCACTTGTGAATTTTATTTATGAGGAACTCACAGATAGTAAGCTGGACTCCCTGAACTACCACCCAAGCACGTCTAGGCCATAAGGTGGGTTTTAGTTAAGCATGAACTATCGTATTTGGATAAATATTTCACACTGCTGCAAACACAGTGTCTGTTCAATTCTAACTTCAGCCATTTACTCTTGATGTGACAGTTCCCTTGGCTTCACTGACTTAATACTTCGGCTGATTTTCTTCTGACGGCTCAGTGCAGTATTAAGCGAAGGTGCAAGCACCATCAGTGTCATGTCAATGACCCTTAAGCATCTGAGCAGGTGAAGGCGGGGACGCCGGGGACTCCCGCACACACCCAGGGCGTAAGCCTTCAGTGTTGTCAACTACAACCAGGAAGGCACAGCAGCCGCCAGGGGCCTCATACTCACCCAACTCTACAGCTTTCACCTAAGTTGTTTTACTAATGAAGGACATGGGAAAAAGTACTTTTTAAAGAACAAAAACAAAAGAGGGAGGCTCGAAGTGACACATGCTACACCTCTACCTCACGTGCTCCTGCCGACACTTCAATCCCGGCTGTCTAGCCTGCATCCCTCTCACTAAATGCCCTTCCTCTACCCGTGAAGTCCCCTGCCACGATGACTAGTGATACAGCACGCACTCCGATGTCAGCGAGTTTGTACTCCATACGGACCAACCTGACCCTGGGCTCACAAAGGCCAGGGTCTTACCTTACATTTCTGTGCTCTTCACTCCTATCCTGCCCTTTGATACTGTGGCCAAATCACTACACCATCTACAAATACGTAATGTATTATACATGCTAAATCCTAATGTTCCTTCTACTTAGTTGGTTAGAAACAGTGGAGACTTTTTAAACGTCTTTACGAATTTCTTGCAAGTTAGAACAATATAAGCTAACTTCTCTCTGTAGCAGACCAGCCAACTGAGGACCACTTGCCAAATAACTTCAGAAATTAAGGGAGCCAACAATCACATTTAGTGACAAGTTAGACAGAAGCTTCTGTGTAGACGCTCAAGCCCAGCCCAAATAATCCAACATGGAAGGCAGAGTAGGCCCAAATCACCCACTGTGGAACGTCCTGTGCAGAAAGCACTATGAACATGAGTGTGTGAGGCAAAGAAAATCTTTATTGCCACAGAAAGCAGGTGCACTCACCCCACCTCACCAAGAGCGTTGAGAGTCACAAAAATGCAGACTTCACACAGCAAAGTACAACAGACTTGGGGAAATGGTCCCTTGGACTATATTGGCTGTAATACTGAGGTAACCAATTGACCTTGCTTAGTGAAAATACCTCTAACACAATGAAAAACATCAACTAGTAAGAGCATCCAATTCATATATACATTTCAAATAAAAATATATATTATTTGCTTTAATGTATAGCAAGTTTAATACATTAGTGTTTACAAAATAAAAACTGTATACTACTGAAATTTTTCTTGTGCTTCCTCATCACTAAGCTTGAAAGATCAGAAAAGTATACTTAAGGAAACTTATTTATGACTTAAAGATGCAGTTTGTGGGCCCACGAAAGATGGATAAATAGTAGCTGGAAGTTTATTGCATCTTTAAAAACTGTTTCTTATTAAAACCTACAAACTTGAACTATAAGACACAATTAAAAAAAAGACCACAAAATTTCTCAAAATAGATTAGAATACAGAAAACGTTTCATGAAACTACTGAGATACTAACCAGTGCTATGGCTAATATTAAAAACTGAACAATCTATTTAGGTCGTACACGTACTACACTTTACACACAGTTAATGACACAACCACAAGAATCAACTTCAAACTAGCAACAAAGTTGCAAGGTCCACAAGAAACTTGTTCAGTAGGCAAAATGCTATGGTACAATTAAAACATTCAGGAAGGGAGAAACGCCTTTTAATAGTATAAAAGTTGTTTACCGGTGTTTCTACTGTAAAGCTCTCCTATGTATCAGAATAAAAAGCAATTCTACATGTGACAGTGATCAGAGACCACAGTGCAGACACTGAACATTTGGCTGACGAATTTCAGTGTAACAGGGTATGACTTAGTATTTATTACACAGTTATGATCTGAAGCAGAACTAAAGACAGACATATACTATGTCGATACACCCTTCTTGGCAGTAACTGGGTTAGGTAGATCTGTAGGAAACAGGTAAACTGTCAAATATCTTTTCTTAAACCAGCAGGAAATAGATGTATATTGGCAGATGTTGGATTTGTATTTTTTTTGTACCGCTATATTCAAATGTGAAATTCTCATAATTATATCAGTACACTGACATTTAAATATATCTTCACATATAGAAAAAAATATATGCACATAGTCCACTAATGGAACAGGGGAAATTTAAAACATAGTGTCAAGCTGAATAAATTTTACAAAAAAACCACATTAAAAAACCTGGGAGATATCCAAAAATGGACCTGCAAATAAATACTGAGTTGTAGCTGTTAACTGCGCTTCCACGGAGCCACGTCTGCAAACGTGGACGCAGGGAAAGCGCACGCCTGTGGCGTCCTGGCGGTGAGGCATCCCCGTGAGAGCCACTGCGTTTCTGCGGCTCTTGCACAGGGAGAAGAATTTCTGGATATAAAACACAGACTCTCTCATAGCTGTGTTAAGTTACCATCTCTGTCACATTTGAAGTTAACTATGTCTTAATCTATTTAGCACATTCTGAAGTATCATGTTTAAATCAAGGCTTTTATACATTAGTCCATTTGTTTCAAGTTCTCTGTCCAGGTAGTAGCTTCCTCTCTTTGCTGCATCCTTAGTAGCTGTTATGTAGTCCAATCTGGGTCAGTTAGGTAGGATGTATTTTCTACGCTACTCACTTTTAACTTTCCTTCAACATTGTGTATATGTGCACTGATTAAACCAGTGAAAATGACATTACTGAATAAATGCTACACATTTTCCTATTAAACAAAATCAGTTTTATCAAATATTAAATACACAATATTTTCCTTAGCTTAAATTGAGTATTTGTTTTCTATTTTTCTAGTCATTGCAACCTTGCCAATAACTACGTCACTTAAACTTTCTTTTTTGAATGCAAAGATCCTAAACTCTGATGTATAATATTTACGCTAAATACACTTAAAGTAGACAACAAAATTTCAAGTAAAATAAACTGCATCCACATCTACTAGACTGACCAAACAGGTCTGGACATCTAGATTTTAATTCTATAAATTACACAAATACATTTTACATTCTTAAATAATGATTGCTTACAATATTAACTTGTAAGCCTTTCCACATAAAGCAACTTACACAGGAATGTGAATGGATCAGTATTTGTTACAGATTACAGCACTCTCTTGATTTTCTCTTTTGTGGCTGCTGTTTTGTCTTCCTGGTTTCCACAAACTACTGAAGAAGTCCTTATGCTTTGGCTATGAAATCTGTTTGAGCTGAATGAGGCAACATCGGTTATTAAGGCTTATTTCTATGATGGAGCATGATCCTTAAATCTGATGCCATTTCCAGAGAACAGCGTAGGAATCCCAGCTATCTTGAATCTTCAGGCTCTGTTTTGATGACTTTCTTCTCCAAAGTGAAAGCTGAGTGAGGGTAGTCTTTTAGAATGCCAAGACTCTCTGCATAAAAGTAAAAACACAACATATGATGATATTTTGGATCAATGAACTACAAAAATAAAAAATTATAAAACAAAATTCCACAGCAAATAGTATCAACTATTTAATAATTCTATAGTTCTATATAAAAATTTGTCTATAGTGTGGTGGTTAAAAACTTGGATTTGAATTTCAACAGTGCCAATTACTAGCTATATATATCAGAGCAAGTCACACCCTTCCTAAGACTTACTGTCTTCATCCATAAAATGAGGTGACTACACATATAAATGTCATGAGAGTCAAATGATGAGGTGAACATGAAACAATGAGCATATATAAAACACTCTTTTTAAAAACTGCTTGGCACAAAATGAAAAAAAATGCAAAATAAAACTGCTCACTCATATACAACTGTTTTGGGTTTAAAATATTTACTACCAAAGAAGAAATGAGACAAGAAAGTATCTTCGATGTTTAAATATGGAACTGTTTTTAAAAGTTCCTCTAGCTATGAGACACTAAGAGAAAAAAGACTACCCTTCCATAAGAAATCAGCCTACAGAGTTTTAAGTGCTTAGGTATTTCTGTCTCACACAAATGTAATCATTGCATGAAGTACTAAACACCAGGAGATATACAGACAGACAGACAGAAACACACATCTCCAGGCACACACATGTGTCAGTATGCAGACAGACAGACACACACACACACACACACACATACACACACACATACACACAAGGATTCCAGTAAGGTAACCAATACTAATAGTTTATCTGAAATTAGGTAGCTCAATTTATGAATCCACTCTCTCAATATAGAAAGGGCCATTTAAATTGTGCATAATAATAAAAATAGTAGCCACCACTGAGTCCTTGTCAGCCATGCAATTTATATACACTATTCGATTTAACCCTCCTACTACACATGAGGTAAAAACTACTAACATTTTACAGATGAAGTAATGAGGGAGGAAGAATTAAGTAAGTGCAATTAAATTCGGGTTACTGAGTCAAGTATCAGTGCTGAGATCTGGGCCCATGTTTGCACTCTATGGAACCTGAATTACTTCTACTCAATTTTTTAAAAAGTAGAAAAAAGGCTTTTTCAAAGGTGTTCTTTTGTTCTACTTTTTTTTTTTTTTTTTTTGGTTTTTCTCCTGTACCGGGAACCGAACTCACGACCTTGCGCTTGCCAGGCAGGCGCTTTTGCCGCTGAGCTAAATCCCCAGCCCCTTGTTCTACTTTTATAAAGCCCTATATCTAAACTATACCTTTGTGCCATGTGTGGTGAAAAATATGGTGAACATTTAAAATAATTTGTTACAGTAAAAGACACATTGCCATTGGTTCCCTTCTGCAACCCTTCTGCTTGCTTCAGACACACCCATCCCATCATCCTGCCACTTTCTGAAGCAGTTCCGGAAGTCTTCTTTCACGAAGGTCTTTAGTTGTGCTGCTGTGGCTCCCTTATGGTCTGAAATCTAGGCCCAAACCTTTATGTTTCATGGTCACTTTGAGTTTGAGGAAGAGCTAGAAGTCACACTGTGCCACATCCAGGGAGTGAGGTGGGTGAGGACACACTATCATGTTTTTATCAGCCTGCCTTTTCATTTGGATAGCCTCTGCAGTGGGGTTCAGCATGTTTTCTGATCACACTTTGTAAAGTCACTAAGGAAAGAGGACTTCCACCAGAACTGCTTCAGAAAACAGCAATAACCTGGGATAAGTGTGTTAAAAGTGAGGGGGAGTGTTTTGAAGGGAATTAATGCCTATGTATTTTACTGTAATTTTTTTTAATTTTTAAAAATATTCACTATATATTTTTATCATACTTCATAATAGAGGTGTAAATTATGCTCTTATGGTAAGAAACATGAGTAATACAAATGGAGTATTTCTTTTATAGACAGAGTTCAAAGAAATTTTCATTGGTAGAAAGCTTTAGTTTTATTTTTTAAGAACTTTAAAGAATAGATTCCTTTTTCATATTGCAGAAAATGAGACAAATATTATTTTAGAATAATTTTCAATTTCTTAACCTCCTTGATAGTCTTAAAGTAGCTAAAGGTAGGCATGAAATAGCAGATGAAAGTCATAGCACTGAGTATTTATAACTTTGGCCTTCTTACCATCTATTAATTGTAGCCTAAGCAAAAACTAAGAGATAGACTCTTAATAACCCTTTTCCTGATAAATATATAACTCACTCTATCAGATACAAAGTCAGGTTTAATTCCAATGTTTTTAAAACTACTCTTCCCAGGGATTTAGAATACAAATGTAAAGTTATTTTATCTGGTCTTGGGCCTCCTCATCTATAAAATTAGTGACACTAAGTAACTTCTAAATTTACCTCAGTTCAAAGCCTGACAGATTTCTTTTGAATGCTGCTGATCTAATGCTCTAACTCACTTTATTTGAATAAAAATATGTAAATACCCAACTAGAAGCTGCTTATCCCTTTTATGATGTTTACTTCTGGAATATGAGTATCATCCCCAAAACACATCTGCATTAAAAGTCTAGACTTTGTTACATAAGGTTTTTTGGGGTAAGAGCAAATATACAGTTCATCAGTTTTGTATTAGGTTATTGCCAGAAAAGGGCACACCAGCCAAATTCAAAGCAGCCATTTAGCATTCAGTTTAGAAGTCACCATTCATGTAATAACTAATGAAAATAATCTCAACCTCCTGAGTTTTCCGTATCACTCTTTGGAATACTTTGTTGTCAAAAAGACTAGCTAATGTTATAGCAACCTACAGTTTGCAAAGGGAGAGGAACTGACTAGTAACACTGTTCTGAGGACATGAGGAGGCCAGGAGCGAAGAGGTATAGCAGCAGCAGGAGAAAGGAAGGGAAAGGTGCTTCACTCGAGTTTCACTCTGCTCATACACACATTCTCACCTGACGAGTGGGATTTGGCCTCCCCAGAGTAAAGCCTACTCAGCTCCCCATCCACCACAAAATGATGAGGGTGTCTGTTAGGTAAATTAGGCATTCGGAGATTCAAAGGTCTTTCTCCTGATGAAAAGAAAAAAATAACATGAGTAATACGAAAAACATACCAGAGCTTTTCTTTAAAATGTTTTTACAAATTGCCTGAATACTTCTTTGGAAAAGAGCAAAGTCAACAGGCACTGAGGAATTTAAACAGCAGTGGGGGAAAAAGCTTTCTAAAATGATAATTTAGGAGGGAAATGTATGTCATTTTAGCTACTTCCAAACTACCTAATTCTACTTGGGCATTTTTAACAGTTGAAAATGCACTAAACAAAAGACAGAATTCTAGCAAGCATTCCAACTTCAATGTATAATACATTTTCTCCTCAGGCATTTTCTTACTAGGACAACCATTTTTTCCAAGGCATGTCCATCATTAACAACACAGCAACGAATACTAGACAGAGATAGCTTTAAGCTAATTACAAATTAAAAAAAAAAAAACCTACACCAAAATCTATAAAAAAGTTAGTGCAGATACAGTTAATATGCTTTGTACACTAAATCATCTTATCTGTCATAAACCCAAATCTTTCAAATAAGCAAGTTGCTACCCCACACTAAATTATCCTGGGGTCTCCAAGGTCACCAAATCTACCATAATTGCCTTCACTTCTTAACTGTTAAACATGACTGGAGAAGTTAAACAAGACCTCAACCAAAAAGTTCCTGTAATATTTTATAAAGGAAGAATTTTCTCGTCCTCCAGTACTCTCCTCTGCTGACAAGGCAGTACCACACAGCAGTACTGCACTCCGTGTTGGAGAACGCTTGTTATAGCGGTATTCTTACTTGGAAGGAAGCCTTACTGACAACCCTTCTCTGTAAAAATGTAAGAATTATATAAAAAGACAGTATAAAATTCCCATTTTCTTCAAATACTGAGTAACCATTTGAAGCTGGAGGCCACATGCACACACTTGACACTGCCCACCCTCAGCGAGCATGGGAGTGCCTGCACCTGGAGATGCTACTGAAACCTCAGATGTACTGGACAAAGTAGTAATGATGGCTTAAGATTTTCCTCATGTGAAGATGCAAGAAATTAAATAATTTTCAAAATAGTGAAAATAGTCATAAAATCACATAGCTGTCTAAACCTGAGTTGTCCTTTTTTTTTTTTCTTTTTTGGTATGGGAAACTGAACTCATGACCTTGCGCTTGCCAGGCGGGCGCTTATGCCACTGAGCTACATCCCCAGCTCCCCCTTTGTCGTAACTCCTTAGAGCTATCACATTCTCTTAAGAAATGACAGCTATAAATTTCAGGTAAGGCTATTTTTGAAGTTTACAAAAAATATAGTTTTTATCTTTTTACAATGACCAGGGTGGGCCAGGGATAGAGCTCAGCAGCACAGTGTCTGCCTGGCAAGCACAAGGTCCTGAGTTTGATTCCTAGTACCAAAAAAACCCCAAACAAACCAGGGCTAGAGGTATAGTTTAGTGGTAGAGCACTTACCTACCCTATGCCAAGACCCTGGGTTCAACGTACACACGTACACACACACACACACACACACAGAATGACCTGTACTGATCACATCTCCCAATTGTACCACCACTCAAGCACACGTGCCAACTAGTGTATGGGAAAAATAAAATTAAAAACTTTTACAAATTAACATTTGCAGGATGCATTCTTGCCTTTTTTTAAAAAAGGAGGTGATTTAAAATTAATTTTCACAGAGAACTTATAATTTCTACAAAACATCAGGTTTAAAAATCAGCAGTCCTTCCCATTTCTCTTTGGAAGGTGCCTGAGAGGCCCAGGGCCGAGGAAGGAGGGCTACCTTGGCCGTCGGAGCTCTCGGCAGGCAGGCCGTTGGGGCTGTGCTCCTCAGAGCCCTGCCTGTACAGCCCGGCAGACAGTCTTCTCTCCGCATGCTGCAGTCTCTCGTAGCCAGCTTGGGCACACAGGAACTCCATCTGCTTTGCCATCACCTTTTCAGGCTGCTAGTAAGTAAAGCAAAAATAAAATCAGTAACTATAAAACATTCTACATTTTTAAATGGTTTAAAGATGCCAAATTCAGGTTCCAGTAAATATATTTAGTATTCATTAAAATTAGTTCACATTTCATGTGGTATATTTGGTTCCATAAATATGAATAAAGGTCTATATCATGTTAAAACACAAAATGCTGGATTCTGTACAAAAGAAAAAGGTTTCTTCTCAGTCCTATGAAGAATACTCCATCCCAGCTCAAAGGCAACAGAACCTTAGCTCTGTTTGCCAAGGTATCGCGTGCTTTAAAGGATTTTTAAAAAGGAACCTAAGAGCAACAGCAACATCTGCTATCAACTGCTTCTAACACACAGCGTGAAATCTCGGCATTTTTATTTTAGAATTTGGCACTACACAGACTCTGATGGGATGACAGTATGTTTGAGAGAGAATAAGGTGTAAAATGGTTGTCTAGAAGAATAAGACAAACACATCTCCCACTAAAATTAAACAATACAAATTATGCAGAAAAATATCAATGCCAAGGGGGATCTTCATCTGCACTGCAGAATGAATCCGCAGTATTTTCCAACCAATCATAAAGGACATGTTTTAAAATGTAAAATTAGTGAGGTGACATATACATTTGCCTCATGTTCTGTAAGTTCCTTTTCTATGCAGTGCTCTAAATTACTCGTATGTGATATTCAAAGCAGTGTATCTGTGGTATTTTGCCAGAAGGTAATAGTCAAAATGCAAAGATATGAATCACTGCCATATTATGTAAGAGAGCGGTGCGTGAAAGCTGCTATATAAAACGGGTTACAAAATGTCATGAATCACAATATTAAAACCCAACAGGTAAAATGTATTCGTCCATTGGATACATAAGATAAATGCGCATACTATTTTTCTAGAGATACATAAACCAGATCAAAAGTAACCATAAATTTACTTCATTTGAACTTGTTACTAGTTAAATGTTAACATGTCAGTTAAGCACTTTGGAGGGGGGAATATATTTGTCAAACATTTAATGTGAAAAGACGAAACTTGGCAGTACTAAATCTGAATAAAAGCAAGTCACTAGGAAGAATCAACAGGACTAAAACTTTCAGCGCTTTCCAAAAGAAAATTGTTTGCAGAAAGGACTTTTTCAATGCTCATTTCAGTGTTCATACACAAATAACTCAATGGCAAAGCACTTGAAGATACATATTAATTTAACAATTTTTCAGTACACATAAATATAAATAAATGAAACTAGCGGAAGCAGTCATTCATATTTTAACTTACAGATCTAACTGGCCGTTTACGTTACCTGTGAACTAAGAGCTGCAAGTTCTTCGCTCTTAGCTCGTGCCTGTTGGAAGAGTGTTTGCACAGAATCCTGGAAGTCTGGAAACCCATCCTGGGAATCAAAGAATGAGTTCTTAGCATTTAGTTTGTAAAACAGAAAATATAAGTGTTTCAAAAACTCAGGAAATAAAGCAAAGAAAACCACCTTAATCTCACTATACAAATTATCAGAGGAAAGATTTTAACATACATAATCTCATTTCAATCTCTTATGGTACAAATACGTTATGTTCTACACTGTAACTTCAGTAAAAACATGAATGAAAAATATAATCTTCCTCATGTTTTATTCTGGAAAACAACTTTATGATCAGTGACAATAGTTATACAGCCTTTCAACTGACGGTCCCACTAACCACAAGCCATTAACCCATGGGCTTTCACATTAAGCTGTACCTACAGCCCTTTTTTATTTCAGAGGCAGGGTGTCTGTGAGCTGTTAACCTGCTCAGGCTTGGCTCACACTTGTGATCCCTGTGCCCCCCCTCCCAGGGTGCTGGAGTTATACGCATGGGTCACCAGGGGCCACCCTGTATTACATGTATCATCTCATTAATCCTCCTCAGAAACAACTCTATAGCTTCCACTGCTTCTGTCATTTCACAACTACAGACAGGTTGAGCCCACGCTCAGTCTATAAAACCATACAGTGACTACTTTATGAAACACCAATAAATACAGCATTTCTCTTACAGTCTGTCCTTTATAAGAACTGCCTTTAACACTATTACTTGTCCTTAATTTGATACCCAATTCCACTGATTGCTGTGACACACAGCAGGTTATTTTACCTCTATTTCCTCTTCTGTAAAAGGGGTGTAACAATTGTACCTAGGTAACTTACAGAATCATTTTTAGACAGCAAACAGTCATGTCATGAAGAACACTTAGCACAGTTCTTAACATGTAGAAATTACCCAATAAATACGTTACTAATACTGACTATCTGAATCCAAAGCTGCCAGGCTTAATGAAGTGCAAAGCGGCAAGTGATCAGCAGGTTATCACCCAGAGGGAAAAGGATAAATTTCAGGGATATTTATATAGTGTGAGTATCTGGACAGAGTGGGAACTAGACACTGAACACTAAATCCATCAAGAGAATGAACAGTATATTGAGGGGCTAGGGATTTAGCTCAGTGGCACAGCACCTGCCTGGCAAGTGCGAGGTCGTGAGTTCAATTCCCAGTACCGGAAAAAAAAAAATAGTATATTGGTGGGGAACTGTCTTAGTGAAAAGCACACCGGAAATCTAGAAATGTGCTTATTCATTCAACAAAAATGTCACCTAACTGCTTCACATACTGTACTTCTATGGTGATGAAAAGCAAACAAGAGCAATACACCTTTGGCGCTCATGGTAAATGCAGGCCAGAGAGGGGAACAGACAAGACATGGGGCACAGCACAGCCTGGATGGAGGAAGTCCAGGCTGAGACATGGAGAAAGACCGTTTCCTCACAGAAAAGAGGTGCACAGAAGGGCCTGGAGCAAGAACAGGCTACACTCCTGACGCTGGAGAATAACATATTAGATAGGGAGTCCTGCAGACTGAGAAAGAGTAAGCGGGGAGAGAAATTCAAAAAACACAGGACCAGGTCTGGGTGGTCTTTTAAACTATGTTAAGAATTTTAGATTTTATCTGAAATTCAAAAAGCAGCCATGAAGGTCTTAGAAAAGAGACTGACCAGATCTGCACCTCAGAAAGGCCAATCAGAATGTGATGGGGTCGGCAGTGGGAACAAGCAGACTGGCAGGGCGCTGTGGTAAAGAAGGAGAAGGTGGCTCTGCCCTGGACAGACGCAGGTACAAGGGAAAGGAAAGGACTGCTGGGACTGAGCACCCCAGAATCTGGTGGTGATGTCTGCTACAGTGAATATTATGAGCCAGGGTTAAGGTAGGCCAGAAAAGTGATGAATCAAGCTGAGTGTCCAAGCTGGTGAGACCCTGGTTGGATAAGCAGACATCCAACAACCTCAGTTGTGTAAGCAGGTACCAGAGCTTGGAGCTAGGTGTAAAGGCTGGGCCGGAGACCCAGACTGCAGAGTGACTGGCTCATCAGCAAGCTCGGAGCGGAACTTGCTCAGTCAGAATCCACACGGGCCTCAACCTCTCAATATTGATTTTGAAAGAGTTTACAAAAGGAAAAAGGAGTGAGCTAGTCTTCTTACATCAGGAACCAGATGTACGGTCTTAGGAAAGAACGTTAACCTCATCATTTCCAGTGTACCCAATTTTTAAATGGGGATTATACCACACGCTTCATCTGCCCAGAGAGATCTGTGGGGATCAAAGAAAGCAATGCAAATGGTAAATCACGTCACAGAAATACACGGTGTCACCACCAACAGGATTATTCAGCCTCGGGAACACTGAAAGGCTGCACGGTGAGAACTTCTAACTCTGCGGGTCAAAACTTCTGCTCCATCATTAACCAGGAGAAGTATGAGCTTGCAGTAAGTAATACACAACGATAACCAGGGGACTAGGGACCCTTCTGAGACTGAGTCCATTCGTCCTTCTGATTTTCTCCCAGTCTTGGTAGCTCACCCCAGATGGGAAAGCTAAGATCAAGTAGCTGTCATTCCGTGAGGCGCAAAGCAGCTGTAAGCTCCCCAAAATATAAGACTTACAAGGAAATAAAAGTGAGAACATTCCCAAGAAACGGGTCTCTTTCCCATTAAGTCTGATGCGGGACTTTTGCTGTATGTCTCTTAAGCTCTTTTTTCAACAACAGTTGCAACGTCACGGTAGGAGCAATTTATCTCCAAGTCATATTCTTGGCTGCTGCCATTAATCACAGTGTTCCCTTGCTGATGAGACTCTGGGTTTGAACACCGAGAAAATAGAAGATACAGGGTGGGATGCTGCTCCTGACCTCATTACTCTCACCCCATTGATCTCCACCCCCACTCCCCTCATCTTTTTTGCCGAACACCAGCAAGCTGCTTTAAAGGCACTGTTTGGCTGTCTTTAAATGACTTGTTACAGCAGATGTTCTCAACCCCACATGTGCATTTTCCTTTTTTCTACTCACACTTTCTGTATGAATAGCAGATTGCAATGCTTCTGTTTTTCTGATCCAGAAGGGACCAGTCTACATCAGATTAGCCTAGGTTTCTCTTCAACAAGCTCAGCAACAGTGTAGGTGGACACTCTAACCCTCCCCACTCCCCCTTCCTCGAACCCTACTCCCACCCCACTGGAACTGCGAGCAGATGTTTCCTCTAAGTCTTTCTTCACACCCCAGTTCTCTGGCTTTCTGAGCTCTATGGTATTTCATCTCTTTCTCCCAGTTATCTATCTCCTTTGCAGCCCTAACCTCACAGGGTAAGAAAGCTGTCATCGACCTCTGCCTCAGTTTCAGCAATTCAGTGAATGAAGGAAACTTACAGATGAGATAAAAGCAGCAACAGTCCCCCCTCTAAGATGTTCCTTATAACACCGCAGGTTATGACAGAGTTTGCTCAAGCCAATGGAATCTACTTTTCACTAATGCTTTTAAAAATTCAGAAGACAAGACAGCTAAGATTTGGGCTCTTGGTTTTTCATCTCCTTGAAATAACTGTCAAGCCCTCTTAAATATATCCTGTCACAGATAGGCATAAATAAATGAGACTAATTTTTCTTAATTTAGTCTAGCTTCCCAGCACTCTGTTTTTACTCATTATAAACAATTAGAATATCACTAATAATATCCTAGATAAATACACTTTACAATTCACACTTAAATTTTCTACTCAAGACTTACAGGTGTTTACTAGCTTCTTTGGGTTAGAAAAGAGCTGCCACTCGTACCCTTCCTTTGAAGACCACAGACCTGCACATCCTGTGCCCTTCACACCCCACGAGGAGGAGGAAAGGTCTAGTACCAATAGTGTTTACTTCACAACTGCGGTTCCTTATGAATATCCATCAGTAGCCAGAACGGTGGTACTGCTTTGAAGTTTAGAAGTGAGACACAGATTGGAAATCCTGGCTCTGCAACAGGACAGCAATAAGGCAACTTGAACAACCTGAACTGGGCCTTTCTGGTTTGCCTTGGCTATAAAATGTAAACCATAAAGCTTCTATACACTGTAGAACAAGGTTTGTGATAATGAATTCAAAATGTCTAGAAACGACTGGCACATAATAGTCAATAAAATGTCATTATTTTTACAAATGCTGCACAGCTAAACCATCTGGAGACTTTGATTAAGAAGGAAGAACAGTAAGAACACTCTCCCTGAAAGAGTACTCAAGCTGTTCTCCTGGTTGGGCAGAACTGTTCCCAAGGCTTAACTAACATACAGGGTTGAGGGTGTTTCCCTAGAAACTCCACAAGTGGTAGTTTCCCTAAGGCCTACCCACGCCTACCCAGCCTTTTTTTTCTCTGTGGCTATCTCATTTACTCTAGGAATTAAAGGAATAAATTTCAAAATCTCTACTGATTTTATGTCTAACATACCCTGCAAGGATGACCACTACTTAAGGACAGCAGATTATCTTGAGTACTTCTATGCAGTGTTTACTAAGATTTAAAAAACAAATGAATAGTAGCCAATTATCCTTAAGAGAAAACCACCTGCATAGTGGTTTCTAGGGAGGAAAATCAGACAAGTGTTTTAAAACTTCATTCCACCCAACTCTTCACGTACAGATCAGAGAAATATAGTATTCAGCAGAGAGAAAAGAGTTTACTAAGCCTGAACAAAGTACTACTTTTATAGTGTACTCTGTAGCACTGATAATGGCAAGCAAGGGAATGTCCCTCTTTCCTCGCACGTCAAATTATTTTGATATCATTTCTATCCTTTCTACCAGACTTAACATTTTCCTTTGGTGAACTGGAAAAAAATAAGCTGAGCAACTTGGCATGGATGTTCACTGGCTGCTGTAATAGATTCTTCAATAATAAAGACAAAAGGCAAGAGGAAGAAATCATCTCAATAATTTGAACCTAGTAACTAGGAATCAGTTACAAGTTAACATCTTTCTTTAAATAAAGAATACGGGGCTGGGGATGTAGCTCAGTGGCACAAGAGCCTGCCTGGCAAGCGCAAGGTCCTGAGTTTGATCCCCAGTACCACAAAAAAAAAAACAAAAAACAAAAAAATAAATAAGGAATACGCTAAGAATCACAAAGAAATATTAAAGGAAGACTAGAAAAAGCACGTTCAAATTTCTAAAATCTTTCCAGTTCTATTTATGAAGTCTGTTGTGTCAATCACATCTCTAGACAAATGCTTCTACTTACTGCTCTCTAAACATGCTGCAACTCTGTATTGCTTCTAATTTTTTTTTTTTGCTTCTAATTTTTTTATTATCTTTGATCAATCGTGCATTCTTACCCTAGTAATCTGAGCAACTTTGTTGAAGGTAACAATATGTAATATAACAACCCTTGTTAACTTCCTATCACCTTGTTTTGAAATTCTGTATCGTTTTTTCTGTTTTGTTGTTACTGTGTTTTCTTTTCTCTTTAAAATTTTTTAAGAAAACATGCTTAGTACTACTTTCTTACCTCTGCCTTTGCCCACACTACTCCCCATTTATAACACCATCCCAACGCCCACTCAGCATCCCTACCTTTTGGAACCCTGCCCTCCTTTAAAAACCTCGCTCAAATGATACCCACCCCGTTAAAAGCCCCATCCAAATCCCTTCTCAGGCCAGGAAGTCTCCCTTTCTCCAGCAGCCACATAGGAGGCAGACATAAACGAAGCACCAGCATTCACGAGAGGCTTAACACAGAGGAGGCTTAACACATACATTCATGGTGGGCTGTAATTCCTGTGCCTCAAGGCTGGAGGCTCTGAACCACCAGTGGTACATGCAGGACCATCCCACTGGGTGGCACGGGACAGTCCTATTGGGCAGTATGGGTGGTGCAAGCCACCTGATGGGACCGTCATGCATGCACCATTGGTGGGTCAACCTGGCAGGAATGTGTTAAAGGAATAAAATCCCTTCACAGCCAACACTAACTACCTCGGTGTCAGCTTTCAGAACCAAAAGACAGCTCTAGTATCTAAAATTTCACTTAACACCACAACCGAATTTACACACGGATTTATACAAAGACTATATATTTTGCAAAAAATTACACTGCACACCTACACACACATACACTGAAGAGATATTGATGACTTGCAATATGTAAGTACTTTACTAAAAGCTAAGCAAAAACAAAATGAAATTTAAAACCAATGATAAAAAGTGAATCACTATTTTAAATTCAAAGCTAACATTTCTATTTCTGTGAAACATCAAGAGTGTGGTATCTCCAAAGGCACAGTGGTGCTGTGGCAGTCAGTAACTGGTTCCGGGAGGCGCAAGGAGTACAAAAAATGCTAAGTACTTCACCGAATAAACTGTTTTGGCTAGAAAGGGCAGTGAGTCCACACTGAAGTTCTAGCTTGACTGTCAACTACCGATGAAAGGATAAGAACTATGACAAAGCTTCCACTGAAATGCACCAAGTGCCAAGTTCAATGAGCTCTCAGCAGTGCAGTACTGAGGTATGAATGCTAAAGAAGCGTGAAGCTGATCAGGCGCTTGTCCTATGTAGACGGGTTAGAGCACAAGAAAAGGAAACACTCATTACTGTAGCTTTGCATCTGTAACTGTTCAGGTGGCTTTGTGAACTCTAGTAAAACAACGGTCACACAGAACTACAACTGAGTCATCATCAGTGGAATAGAAGACTCACATCTAATGCTATAACGCAACACCGCAGGCCCCTAATAAGAGACTACAAACGCTGTAACTGGATTCAAGAAGCAATCTGCTTACATTTCAGATCACAGCTACTGGGAGAGTCGGAAAGTCAATACAGCCAAATATGAAAGGAAGGCAACTCACACTGCCCCTGTTTGGGACAGGGAAAGAGCAACTTAGATGTGAGGAGCCTGAATCACGAGTACAGCGAGGCCACGAGTGGAAGACAGATGTGGACGCTTTTCTGGGCTTGCAGCCGGCGGTTCTCTGGCCTCTGGGTAGGAGCTGTAATTTCCTTCCTTTAAGTCCTCTGATGTCTCAGGCTACAACAGTTTCCATGTTCACCGGCTTTCCTGAGCAGCAGCAAGCTAAACAGCTAAATTCTCAAAGATCTTCTCTTACCCAGCATCGTGGGATCCAATGAGATAAAACTCTTTCCCTAGTTAGACCATCTTCCAATTTGCCTTTAGATAAATTTAATACCAATAATTTTTGGTATTGCTTAACCTCTTAACCCACCTAAAAAAATTACTCCAGAACAACGAGATAGATGACAAATGTAAGGATGATTTTTAAAAGATGTGCCCCTTCAGGAACAAAATATGTCTCTTTTTTGAGAACTATTATTTTAGGATAAAGTTTTTACAAGTCAGATGCTCATCCACAGCCAGTCATTATTTCACCCCTACCTCAGCAGGTCCTATGAAGTGCAAGGCACTGTTACACTCTCTGGGCATACGGTAGTGAGTACACAGAGAAAAGCCCTATTCTCATCCAATGGTACAGAATGGTAACTAAAACATACAACAGTTTCAGAGTGGAAAGGGCCAGGAAAGTGAACAAAACAAGCCAGGATGGCAACCTGTGTGCGATCTGGGGTTAAGGAAGCCCCTTTAGAAAGGGAGACAACCCAAAGTCAAGGAAAATTCAGCTGCCACCTACAGAAACCCCGAGAAAATAACCCTAGGGAGAGGGATGAGGAGTGAGTGCTGAGGCGCAAGTGTGTTTGGTTTGCTCTAGAAGGGAACGCGGGCTGGTGCACCCGGGACACAGCAAGTGTGGGAAAGCACAGCACCGAACCAGCGGCAGTCACATCAGGAAGGGTCTTTTCAGATGCCTCAGGGACAGTTTAGATTTTATTCTAGGTACAGCAAAAAGCCACGAGGAAGATGTAGGCAAACAAGGGATTTATGTTGTTGTAAGGGAATTCTGTCTTTAGTATAAGGAAAGGGTTATCACATACAAACAGGTACACAGTAAGTACAATGTGACGATGGACATTTGGGGTAGCCACGCACGACTTACTTGCTGAATCTTAATTAAATAACGGGCTGGCTAAGAGTACCAATCCCTACCCACTGCCCAAGAGGTAAAAGGGAGAAAGGAGCCAGCTGACTTCAACTTTCCATTCTGCTACTGACTAGACATTTCAAAAGTATTCAATCCAAATTAAGAAACAGTAGTTCTGAAACTATGCTATACTGCTGAGAGCCCTGAGAAATGCAGTTTTCTTCCTCAACTCCTACCTTACCACTTGTAAATCTAAACTCAGAACAGTCTCAACCACGGTCCTCAAGGAGACTTTAGTTACAGTAAAGTCTCCCTGATTTGTAGCTACTAAGTTGTCATTTCCCTCAAACAGCTAAAATAAAGTAAGACTTCTTGTGAGTATATCTGATGATATGACTGGTAAGATGTTAAAAGGAACTGTTTAACCAGTGGAATCTTAAATCTGTAAAAACGCTAATATGCAAATCAAACTGTGATAAACTGATGTCAATCTAGCTAGTAATTTCCTTTTAAGAATTTTCTTAGTTTTCTAGTATATATTACCATAGATGTCAGATTAATATAATTCTATAGCATTACTTTTACAATTATGCAATCCTTTTTTTACTAGTTTATAAGATAATCTTTTTGGTCTAAATTAGTAAGATTTTATTCTATTATTAAAGATCTTAAAACAGAAGCAAACAGGACTACTGTAAGAAAATATTACATATAACTATACCTCCACTTTAATTCTCTTTGGGGATAATTCATCTCTTTCACCACATTTTGACCTAAGAGGAAGAAAAGAGAAAAACTTGAGAAGGTAGCAGCCACTAACCTAAGAACTCCCCACAGAGAAATTACTCAATAAATATTTTATGGTTATCATAAAACAAAACAGAAAAATACCAAGCAGGATATCCCTTCGTGGTCCAGCAGAAACAACTGAAGATAAAGTAACAAAATGACACTTAAGATGAATGCTTAAAATTATTAATATACATGAGATTAAAAAAAGCATTTTGTCTACCGCTTGGCTCCATAGCTCAGGGGTTAGAGCACTGGTCTTATAAAAAAAGCATTCTGTCTGTGTACCAACACCACAGATGTACTTACCCTTGACTTAGAAATCTCCTTTCTAGCCCAGAGGAACTAACACATACATACAATGGCACTCCATCAATTCTACAACGCACAGTTACATCATGTACCACTCTGAAATATTACTGTCAACTAAGCTAGGGTAAGTCATCAACTGTAAGTTATACCTCAACATAAAAGATGCTAGAACGTGAAAAAGTACATCCCAGAATCAACAAAATGTTATCTACATTATTTATTGTGGCATTATTTTCAATAACAGAAGACTAAAAATAAGTCAACATCCATCAACTGGGCCAATGTACATTTATCAATATAAAAAGATTGCCAAGATTTACTAAGTAAAATAAAAGCAAAATATAAAAAAGTATAGACGTATGCTTTTATTTTTAAAAAGTGTGAAAATGAGAGTATTTTTCTTTGTTTGCATGTATATAACAAACACTGAAAGGATAAAAAAAAAAACTACAACAACTACCCTTGCTGGGATGAACAGGGGAAAAGAGGCACAGATAGAAATACTAGTTTTTCAATTACCTTTTGACAGTTACAAAGGTGGGTGCCTCTGCGGCCCGCAGCTGAGAAGTGGGAAGGTGAGAGAGCACAGAACTGCAGTTTCATTACCAGCCCTGAATACTTCTTAAATCACACATGTGCATATTTTGATTAAAGAAAATCATCTAAATGAAGTACTCAGAAAATTCTGTATTATACAATAAAGAAAATTTTAAAAACCTACTAAGTCAGCTCTTGATTATCTGATTCCAGAAAAAAAATGTAGAAACAATCTTAAGTTGCTGCGTATTCTTTCCCTGTTCACTTAGACTACTGAACTTTGCTTACTGTATATCTGCAAATGTGAAACTGCCTCGGTAGGCCAGAAAATGAAGCTACTATGAGTCAAGGGAAAACAACAGCAAGTGACAGCAAATGTCTAACTTTAACCTTGAGTATGTACAATGCTCATCTGGGATACTTGGGACAACTTCAGATTACAAGGTTCCATCCTCCAAAGACTGTTACTTATTAGACCTGGGATGAGTGCTGACAGTGTGACTTTTCAACAAATAGTCGGTGTTACTATCATGTAAGTGGTCATTATGTCTACTCACTGAAACAGTGGCATATACAAAAGACAGTGGGCTGGAAATAAGGCTCCCTGCAGAACCATGTGAACAAATAAAAATGATGCATTACCTATAGAGAATGATTTGGGTTCAAGGGTAGAATAAGATGATGAATAGTATTGTGTGTGTAGATTTTGAAGCCAACATTCTTTTTAATATTACATTTTTTATACTTCAAACTCACATTCTATGTAACATGTGCTAGTAGTAAAGATACTTCCAACTTCCCCTTAAAATGCTGGTCAAGAGTCTTTTCACACATTCCGCTAATCTCTGTTACAACACCTTGAAAAGTAACTGCTTTGTTTCCTCAGTTCAAGCTCATACAGTTAGTGGGCTGTACAAATCCTGTAAGTCTACAAAGTCTGTCTAAATCCCATCGTCCACTCTGAACCAAAGTGTGTGTGTGCGTGTGTGTGTGTGAGAAAAATGTCTACACTAATACAAGAGCAATGGTATAGTACCAAGAAACTATGGGGGCTAGGGATTTAGCTCAGTGGCATAGCGCCTGCCTGGCAAGCACAAGGTCGTGAGTTTGATTCCCAGTACGGGGGGGCGGGGACGGGACACACACACGATGACTACATCTTTCAAAAGAAAGGAAGATTAAAACAAACAAACAAACAAACAAACAAGCATTACTTTGTTAAGAGTAAGAAGCTCTGGTGTGCTACTGCCCAGCAGAGTGACCACAGATAATAATTGTGTATTGTGCATTACAAAACCCAGAGAAAGGATTCTGATTGTTTTTACCATAAATAAACAGTAAATATTTGAGGAGATAGGTATGTTTCCCCTGGCTGAAACATTATACAATTTATACATGCATTGAAGTACCACGTTATCCATCCCATTAATATGCACAATTTTTATGTGGCTGTTTTAAAAATTATTTTTAAAAAATCACTTTTAACAATCATGCTTTTAGAAATCACTACATTGTTTAATTTTATGGAATTATAATCACGTTTACCTTTTAGAAATGCTCATATTTTATCAATGGAAGGCGTTTCAAACTTGCCTTCTATCAAGCAATGCAAAAATACTGCTGATTAGTTAACACTTACTTGGTGGTTCTGTAAGTATATTTGTAGGTGACTTCTCGAGAAATCTGCCTAGCCAGGGCAAAAAGTTCATCTCTTCGTGTCAGCAGGGCATTATCCTTCACACAGAGCTGAGCAGCTGCTTCATTAACAGTGAGCTGGACATTCAAAATAAAGTTAAAAATCTATAAGCATTTTTATATTTTACCAATACATAAGTGTTTCACTTAATATAGCAAGTATACATTATTTAATAAAACCATAATTCATAAAAATCAGGATGGTCTTATTGCTGAAGCCAAATTTTAGGATAAAATTAATTCACTTACCATTCTACAAAGCCTAACCTGTTCAAAATAGTCATCTTAGTTTTATTTAATTTTTCACTAGTTAGGAAAGTTTACTGACAATAAGGAATACAAAAAGGAACAAGTATTGTGAATCTCACTTCCCTTGTGAAAAACCAAAGGATTAGAACATATGATAAAGTGATAGTACTTCCCTGACTGCAAGTGAGTATACACAGCCTGAAAAGATTTTTAAAAATGTTAACTGACATAAAAATTCTTGGAAAGAAATCAAAATTAAACAATTTTAGTTGAACACCAAATCACTTATTAACAAGGAAGTTACCACACATTAGGGCTATCCTAGAAAAATCACTGGTGACTCACCTTTTAAGATTTTATCTAATTCTATCTTCTATGATTCAGTAACTGTTAAATATTGCCAGTAACCTTGTACTAAAACTTAAAATAGCAAATGTCATCCTCAACTCGAAATCTCTAATTGTTTAATAACCTAGAACATGTTTTTCTCATAATTTTGTCGATTTAAATAGCTACCAGGAACTTCCAGGAAGTCTATCAGACCCGCATATTCAATCAAGATGACCAACGGTGGAAAGGAACCGGGGCCTTGGGCAGGCAGACGGAGAGGAGTCCTGCTGCACTATCACACTCTGTGTGACCTTGGAGCCCAAAGCCTAAGAGCCTCCGTTTCTGAGAGGCAAACAGGAAGACAGCACCCCCGTCTTAAGAGGGCTCTAACAAACAAGGAGAAATGCCTACCATAAATCTGTTGTATTGGTTCTTGTTTTCCGTTCTTTAAAAAAGAAAAACCCATTATCCAATTATCTTCTCTACTCAGGCAACCCATCTTTATCAATAATTTTTTTATTTAAAAATTTTGAAAATGTAGAGGCAAATGAGAAAAATAAAGTACACAATCGATCCAGAATAATCACTACTACTGTAATCAGAACATTATTATACTAATGTACATATAAACTTAAGTATACATGTATATACAGATTTGCAATCTCCCTTTTTCCACTTATATACAGTATAATTTTTATTTTTTACCACACATTAGGACAAAGACTTGGTTTCTTTATATCAGTATCTGGTATAGATTGTATGTTCGGTAAATGTCTATTGACTGATTAATGAATTTAAATTTCTGTAATACCATTTCCCCCTAAACATACAATATTCCATTATAAGAAAAATATCAATACATTTTTTAAATCAACAGCACAGTAAAATACCCCCAGTTGCTCATGTAGGTCACAGAATATACTACATTTTTTAAATTGTGTATGTTCCACCCACCAAATTAACCTTCAGAAAAAGTTGCCATATCATGGTGATGTCAACAATTGTATGAAGTCCATTTCCTAGAATCTTGACCAACACTGCTTATTATCTTTCAAAAGCTTTACCAATTTCACATATTTTACATGACATTTGGTTACATGTGCGTTTATCTGATTATAAAACTGAACTTTTAATGTTTTTGACTTAGTTTAAAATTTGCTTGCTTGTGGCATTTGTTTCTTCATTCTATTATAGTGCTTCATTTTCTCACAGGTTTTAGGAATTATTTATGTACTAAGAGCATGAACTCTCCACATATGCAGTGCTTTACTTTGTTCCAGTGGTCATGAGTCTTATAGTTTCTGCCTTGAATGAATGCAAAGAAAGTCGTTTCCCACCCTAATAATACAGAAATGTTTCCTGTATTTCAGTTTAACGTTTTAATGTCTCCACTTAAATATTTAATCCACCTAAAGTATGTTATAGTGTTTGGTATGATATATATGTATCGTCTTCTTCCCCAAATTTCCAACTGTAATTTATGCTGGTTTGTTCTGAGACAATTAGTTTAACTGACAAGTTTATAATAAGCCTAAGATTATTTTAAATTTGGAGCTAAATATTAAAATGTAATAGCACTGTAGGAGGCTAACGCAGGCAGATCACAAGTTTGAGCCAAGCCTGGGCAACTTAGCAAGAGACTGTCTTTAAAAAAAAATTTAAAGAAGGTAGAGGAAGCTGGGGATATAGCTCAGTGGAAGAGCCCTGCATCTACTCCTCTCCTTAATAAAAAACTGAAACTGAAGGAGGAATTTATTTTCTGCCTTCTCCTCCTCTCGGCCTAATCAATCACCAAAGATCAATTCCTTCCCAAAGTGCTTTGGAAAGGCACAATGCTACTGGAGCTTAAAGAATGATATCCTAAGTAAATTGCTAATTCACCATGAGAGTGGTTACAATGACCATGCAGACCTTTCTGTCAAATTGCTTTTTAAATAGCTATTTCTATTTTGTATTTACATATCTCAATTAGTATAGAAGACCTTGTTAGTAAGACTCCTAAACTAACATTTCAGAAGTACCAGCTAGGAAGTAACTTCTCAGTATAAACTGAAAACAATGTCCTAGCATGCCCTCCATCATCTCACCAGAGTCCAAAGAAAACAAGCGTAATATTCATTATCATGGAATTCAGGCTCCAAGAGGCTAAAAAAACTAGAGCCTTTTAGCAGAAAATTAAGGCTAGAGAAACAATCCTAGTTCACTCCTAAGCTGTAGTAAGAAGCTGATTAAGTCTCCTTGAAAATCATGTATTATCAAGATTGTATGGCTCCTAGTTGCTAAAAATTAACAGATCAGTAACTATTATGATATACTTTTAAAAATGACAAAACACTCCAAAAAGTATTCACGAGCTGTAGCACCATGTTAGCTTTTTCGAAAATGCCAACATTCTAGTTTGGTTAAAAGTAACATAATATTCTCCCATACTGGTTTACTTATTTTCCCTACTTTCTCTTTCCATGGCCCAAAATGCCAAATTTTTTTTCATATCTTCAGGTAAAAGATTTCTAAAAGTTACCTTTTTATCATTCTAGCTTTACAAACTAAACTCACAATAGTTTACCTTCAGGAAGAATAATAACTGATTCTATGAAAAAAAATTTTTCTTTACATATAATATTTCATAATTAAATAGGTAATTATTTAATTACCTATTTAATTAAAATATAATCTTTCATAAAGCAATATATAATAAATCTAAAATCTTTAATAATTAAAACTGTAATATATAATCTTTAATAATTAATGATTAAAACTGTAATCTTTAATAATTAAATGACTGTAACTTTCTACTGAGCATTGCTGCTGCAAACACACTACGTGAATGTGTGTGACAGAGGGGCTCAACAGGGCCTCAGGACCTCCGTGTTAGCACTCAGGAGGGTTAGGTACCATGAAGGACTGTCCAGATCACAAAGAATAAAGAGTAAGTGCAGGACAGTTGCTGAGCTGGACAACCTGAACAACCTGCAGTCTAATGGCGCTAGGGAGTGTGAAGGGACAGAGGTAAAGCCCAGGGCCCCTCCCTCCAAAGTGAGGTGTCTAAGACCCTTCTCCCGCATAAAGCTCAGCCCTCAACGCACCACACGCCAACAGAAGGGTGAGTCCGAAGACTGCCTCGCATCCCAGAGGAACGCAAGGAAAATTACCTGTCTTGAACCTTAGCACTAAGTGGGGAAGAACAGACTGCACAGCCCCAAATCCATCTTCTTATTTATCTGTAGCCCTAACTCACACTAAGTTGGCTGAGAAATTATTTTCACAGCGACCAGAGTTGTAGTGACCCCAGTTGCTCGGTAGAAGCAAAAGCAAATAACCTCTAAGGAAATCCACTTTCTTCCTCTAAACATTTAAATTCCAAGAAGCATGAGTTTCTTGACAGAAATCATCAAACAGAGAAACAAAGCAGCAAAAGACAGAATTAAACCCTCAAAAACTTTATTTAAAGAAACAAAAATATGAGTGGAAAGCAACCCTGTAAAAATGGCCGAGAACAAACAGCTGCAGAAAGGAAAAAAAGAAAGAAATTAGGGCAAACACAGAAGATTTAGCAGACAATAAATTAACAGACTAATCACTAAAGCTGAAAGCAAATAAAATGGTATCATCAACTACTAAAAGAAAATACAGAACTTACCTTAAATAGCAGTAATTAAGAGTGAGGGTGAAATAGAACTGTTTTCTAATGGGGTAAGGAAAGCCAGTCTGTAGCTTTTCACTGCTGTGACCAAATACTTGAGAAATACAAGCAGAGGAGGAAGAGATTAGTCTGGCTCAGTCTCAGAGGTTTAACTGTGGCTGGCTGGCTAACACTCTGGGACTGAGGGGACACAGCACGGCAGAGGGTACGGCAGAGGACAACTGCTTACCTCAGGCCAGCCAGTAAGTAGACAAGGAAAGAGGCAGAGGAGGAGGGACTGGGGACAAGATAGCACTCCTGAGGCACGCTCCCATGCCTCCATCTCCTAACAATGCCATCAACGAGGATCCCATCAGTGGGGCTTAGCAAACTGCAGGGAAACAACACACACACTCACACTCCCACAACCCAGAAAATCGCGTATGCTAAAAGTCACTTCTGCGAAAAGTGTAGCAAAAAAAGTCACTTCTTCAAAAGGAGTAGAAAGCTTTTTCTGTAGAAGGCCAGAGAGTAAATATTTTAGGCTTCATGGGCCAGTGTGTCATATCTACTCAACTCTGCCATTGTAACTTGAAGTCAACCACAAACAATTCATAAATAAGCAAGCCTGGCCTGTGTTCCAATGGCAGTGCATTTATAAAAAAAGGAGGTGGCTAGGCTGCCCCCACAAAGCTTAGTCTGCAGATTTCTGAAAAAGAGTAACATTCACTAAACTCTGGGGGAAAAAAGACAAAGGTACAGACAATATTATGTCTTTAAAAGTGTGAAGAACTTCATGCCAGTAAGTTTGATAACTTGAATGAAATGGACATGTTTAGAAAAAATGTAAACCTATCATGTGATTCAAGAGAAATAG